GTGTGTGTGTGTGTGTGTGTGTGTGTGTGTGTGTTTAAACAAGACTTTGTATCAGAAGCCCACTGTCTACAAAAACTGCACTAATCCATTACTGTATTAAGTAAACTGTTGCTCTCACCAGTATTAAAGGTTAGGATAATTTCTGTACATGTAAAATTATTGCTTTTTTGAAAAATATATTTAGCATGCTCGTTTTAATCCATTTCCTGCCTTTACAAAATTTCACAATTAAAAAAAAACCTAGTAAAGCTTTTGCAAAAAATTTCACAGAACATTTTCATTCAAGGCAGCAGTAACTTTTGATAATGCATAAAATCATATGTGCAAAAATCTGAAACTCTCAGAAATATTACCATCACACATAGTGTCACGGCAATGGGAAAAGAAAATATTTATATCTGTGGAATACAATTTCAATTGCGTACACTGCATGGTTTAAGATCCTTTGTTACGGGCCTTAACCCCCACCACAAAAACTCGCATTTGCATTACTGAGGAAGAGGTATATAGAGCCGTCCCCACCCAAGGGGCTGGTGATCCCCACCCTTTATGAACGAAGTTACTCATCCTGTGGAGGTCACCAGGCCCAGGGAGAACACACACCCACTTGCTGGGGTGGCTCAGGGAAGGGGCGGGGAGGCAAAGAGTGGGGACAGAAGGTGCCAGAGCTCAGCACCCTAGTTATCTAGGGCCCCTGAACCTGCTCAGGGAGTCTTCTGCCATTACTAAAACAGGTCCGAATCGGGAGGACTCAGTGGCTAAATAATTTGTTAAGACGTATAGTCTTCCTTTGTAAGCAGTTTGCAGAATGTAGCCCTGTTACAAAAAGGTCCTGAGAATAAACAAGAAGCCTGCTTTTCTTAGTGTTCCACTAGCTCTCTTCCGAGGCAGAATCTACGCATTCCCACAGACGTGTCGCCTTTGCCGGATTCGCTCAGTTCGAATGGTGGAAGGAATGGAACAGGCACACAGCCCCCAGGGAGAGTGTGACGGAACCAGCATGAGGGTCCCATCATCATGCCCCTCCACCAAGCCTGCTTCCCACAGCACCTGAACGTCACCTCCTTCCCCTCTCTTATTTACTATTTTAAATACCCACTAAGACAAGGAGAGGCAGTAGTATTAATACTCGATCAACCTCAAATCCACCACGGTTTGTGCTGACATCATCTCCACAGTCCCTCTTAGCATGGGAGGCCCCGGTGACAGTGCTCAGCCTCGCCACTCTGTCCAACACACGTAACAAGTATCTTTTTTTCCAGTGTCTCAAACTTGTCTTGAATAAGATAGATGCCTTGTGCCCCTACTGTGCCTGCCAGTACTACTGTTTATTATAAGAAAATATGGGACTATGGGCGATGAGCACGTAAATGTGTATATAGTATCTACATGTATTTCTAGAGTATAGCATCTTCATTTATTTCTGAACGTTTAACAAGGAGAGGCATCTGCCTTCAGGTTCCACTCCAGCGCAGCGGCTCGGGATGTGAGGTGTCTGCTCAGGAGTTCTCCGGCTGTTCTTCCGTGGAGTGGCCAGGTCACAGGTGGGAGGCTGCTGGGACATCGTGAGGGTACTGCTAATGGCCGTTACGGGGACCTGGGGTGCGTCGGAAACACGCCTTTAGGTTCCCTTTCTGAGAGGCACTGTCTGGACGGTACCTGTGTTAGAATGGTCTCTCCCCTGGGTGAGAAAAAGGAAAGAACAGGAGAAAAGCTCATTTCTGCCTTTTGGTTTCTAAATGCATTTTTCCTATTAATTTTCTAATCAACATCCAAGAACACAAACAATGACCTTCACAGAGCAAGCCAACCAAGTCGGCAAAGACCTGACTTGAGCTGTAACTCATACTATAAAATAAGCATGAAGTAAGTTTAAATGTGCCTTGCTGCCTTAAAGAGAGGCGGCTTGAAAAAGAATCATTTCCAGTGTGATTTAGAAAGGATCATTAGACTTCTCTAATGGTTTCACATGTAAGAATGGCAAATGATAATGTCTGAACCAGCTCTGGAGAGAAGGTTACAAGTTGGCAAGATGAGGAGGCAGCCAGATTGTAAAATTGTATAGTACAAAGCGGATTTACAAGTGAACGGTAGTTCCAAAACAAGGCTGAATTTGGGGCCATACAAACAAAAAGAAAAGCACGGCTCTCACATACGTCTGTCAGAACTTCAGCGCGTTTTCACCCATTTCCATAAACAATTACCACACCGGAAAAAGGGAAGGGGTATTTTACAGTGAACTGCGAGAGAAAACCAAGCATAAATGGGGGTCCACAGCTTTCAGAGAATGCTCTCCAATGACATGTGAAGCATCCCTGTTTGAACAATAGCGTTTAGAATCTGAGGACAAAAACAGTATGGCCAGATTTATTTTACTTAACTGCATTAACCTTCAGCTAAAATCTTGAAGTGAAACTGACCACCAGAAATTAACATGCATACATAAACCAGGGGACTCATGTAAAATTCTGTTTCCAGCTAGACCTATGGGAACCCCAGAAATAATGGCGGAGTGGGGGAAGGTCTGGTTGACATAATGAATTAAAGGCTTTTCTTAATAGTTCCAGAAAACTCCTACTTACAGCTGGCTCTGTGTTCATGACATCTACCAGATGACATGCAGTGGAAGTCAGAAAGATACTCCACAAAATTTTATGAGGGCTTAGGGGGTGGGTGCAGTGGTGGAGACAGCAGTTTATTTGAAATGTTGGAAACAGTAACAGAATGAGAGATGTGATAAAACTTCCCTAAGTAGATGGTGAATTTCCTGCAGTAAACGGAGAAAGATTGTTTTACATTTTTGTATAGCGACATCAGGCTGTGAAGAGATCTCTGAGGTTCTGACGGGAAGTATTCATCATCAACGGGGCTCACCAAGAACCAATTCCAAATACATTCGGGAAGGAAAATGGTCTTGTGTTTACCGGAAGAAAACTGGGAGTTACAGTCAGCTGTTGGGTGTTGGCCTTGACCGTCTCTGCATAGTGAAAAGAGACGTCAGGGACCGTAAGAAGTGGTCAGGGGGTGCCTACGAACACGGGGGCTTTGTGTGCCTAGATTTCACATGGACGGCACCCCCAGGGCACATCCACCTGGGTAACTCTTCCTTTGGACCAGAAGTCACAGACTTGCATTGGGTTAGGCCTCAACGGACTGTTCCAGAGGCGACAGGAAGACGGCCCTCTGTCCATGACGGGCTAATGTTTCACATTACAGGGCTCAGACGGCTTTAAAAATATTTATTTTGGAAGCACTGCAAAGTCCGGATAAACCAAACAACTAGGTGGTTAAACTGTGTTCACAAATCCAGATGCAGAGACGCCTATTGTCTCTTCATAATTGAAGGGATGTGTTCCAATACCTCATTTTTTAAGAGAGTTGTTTTAAGTTATTGATTCACCAGAGGCCACCATGTCATCATTCAATAAAGCAGCCCCAGAGCATTTTTAAGAAATGAATAAAACATGGAAGAAAGGAGGCACAGAAATATTCAAATTAAGTGGACACACTGTAGTCTTTTGAGCACATCCACATCGCCTTGTCCTCCGGAAAGGGAAAGAGCAGTCAAAAAATGGAACGCCTGCTTTTAGAAGATTGCGCTTTTCTTTTTTGCAGCTGTGAATTGTGGGCTTTTCAGTAATGCTGAAAGAAATACTATCTTTCTGGAAGGTATTTCCGTGTTGTAGGGACGGATATTGACTACTGGAACTTTATGAGGTCTACTTTCTCTTTCTTTTAGTAAGGCAAGGGAAATGTGTATGTAGTGGTGGGTGTGGATCGATGGCCTGCACACAAAACACCCGCCATGCCCCAGGACACACGGGGCACCTCTCAGCCTTCAGAGGGAGGTCAGCCTATGAACAGGGCTTGCGGTCAGCCACACAGGCAATGCTAAGTGCCTGAGCACCAATTATGCACGATGCTTTATTGACTAAAACCTTACCCAACAAGCCGTAAACAAGGGCTATGCGACTGGGGTGATTTTGGATAAGTCACCAGGTCTAATTCATGATTTTTGGTAGCATATTATATTTAGAGAAAATGGAAAATGTGTTTTTAAGATGCTTGTTTGGTTTAATAAACAAGAAAAGCTTAAGCAAATGAGCTGAATTTCAAACTCTGATCTGTGATGCTGAGACTCTAAAAGTGATACTGAAAATAGATTATGCATATATTCAAATATACCAACCTACGTGATTTCTCCATCATTTGCATTATAATAGCCACAGCTAAAAATGAGACAAATTAGGTCGCCATTTATTTTTTCATTTCCTGTTATTTTGATTAATGGAATTATTTATCCAGCTTAACTATTTTTAAATAACATTTAGAATAATAAGAAATAAACTATTAATCATAGTCTTTAAATTCTGGCAAGGAATCCAAACAAATCAAAACACCAGATTTCATATTTCAGCAGTCATTCTGGTCTTTTAATAAATCCCAAAACCACGAGGTTGGGGGGAATAATTTTTCTTGGTTTCAAAAATCATTTTAATTTCTAATGTTTAACAACAATGTAACAAAAAAAAATCAATTTCTCTGCAACACCAGAGAAACTTCCTAGTTTTTCCTCTAACATCCACAGGACAAAACACCCAGATTTCAACATATTGTTTTCAAAAAGTGTTTCTAATGATGAATACTGATGATTACTAGAAATTAAACATTTATTCAGTTGTGCTAAACGGATGACCAAGCATCTTTTAAACGACAACATGCATGAGCTCTTCCCCTCATTTAGAATTTGATTTGGACGATCGGCAGTCCTTGGCATTAGAACCATCTTAATCCAAAACACAGTAAAAGCACCAAGGACAAGCACCAGGGCCGCCGCTGGGCTGGAAGAATCACCCACAGGGGTGGATGCCTTCACAGTTGGGCTCCTGAGGCCCAGGGCCCGGACCCTCTCACCATCTTCCTTCCAGCTTGTCTACGATCGAGGCCAAAGAGTGAGATGCCTAGAGGGGCGTGCTGTGAGCATCCACAGCCTACGGGGAGCCCTGTTATATTTATCCTCCATCTCTGCCTTCCAAGGCTCCAGGCATCCTTTCCACCCTCACCGCCTACCAAAGGAAGGTGTTCAGAAAGAAGTGGCTGCTTGACTATCTGGTTTTCATGACGTCCTCTGCGGTCTTAAAGTAAGTGTTTGTAACACGGAAGAGGTTTAAACAGTGCATGTGCTGAAAAAGACTGCTACTAGTGTCACCACGAAAGGAAACTACTTTATTTCTCCTCAAGCTTCAGGTGTGTGCTGATGAATTAAACTGACTTTAATTTAATTATTTATTCTTGATTCTGACCTACGGTGAAATAAATCAATTTCAGCAGATTTACCTGGCCCTCGTGCCTGTTGAATTGTTTCGCTGAGACAGACGGTGTATCATGATTTCTCAGAATTTTCCAGTATCGAATATTCAAATATTAATATGACAAAGTAAGGGCAATTGTTCTACAAAAACCAGCAATGTCTGTCTACCAACCGGAGGGCTTTTGAACAGAATGTAGCAAACGAGGTAACTAGGCCTATCCTGACAATACTTTTCTCAAACTCACAGTTTTCCTGCATCCTCTCTTTAATGAATAATTAACGACAAGTCTCTTAAACCAAACAAAACAAAGAGAAGCACGCTGGCAGGTTCCAACAAAGCCACAAGACACCAAGTAAAGAAAACATGCCGTCAAACTGAGTTCATAAGCAAAATCTACTAACCGGCTTATCAATGACAGTCATCTGTCCACACAGGCGTTATGTGTGTAGACGTGTTCACATGTGAGCTCACCACAGAAATGCTCTCCAAGTATGTGAGTTTCCTCCAGTTATTAAGGAAAATTGCTTATTTTTAGAATAAATGACGAGGTCACATTGAATGTGTGCTTCATGGTGTATGTTCTAACTTGATTTCCACAGCAAGTATACAAAATAAGCACCATTATCATTATTCTATAGATAAGGAAACTTAGGTTACATTTTATGTCTATGGTGGAGGATCAACGTTCAAGCCTCTACTCAATAGCCCAAGAGATTAGTAATTTATATTATCTGGGTCTCTAAAAGTAGCACTGGCTGACCTTGAATGAATTTAAATGTTGATAGCTATTAGATATATTTAGTCTCTGCCAGGATCTCTCCTCTCCACTTTAAACCCGTATCTTCGCCTTGCCTATTGGACACTCCTACCTGGGTTTCCACGAAGCTCTCACTTACCCTGAATTCCACCTGGAAATGTTTTATCCTGCTCCTCCTTCCAGCCTCAGGGGAATGGATCATGCCTGGGGCCAGCTGCCTGAAGCCAGACCTGGGGTCAACATGATTCCCTCCTGTCCCGCATTTCCCACACCCAATCCCTCTGTGTTACCTCTCAAATCTACCCGCTCTCTCCAGCCCCATGCCAGCTCAGGCCACCTTGTCTCTCGCTGGGATCAAGCGAAGCGCCTCCAAAGGGCTGCTCCTGCCACCGGGAACCACAAAGCCCATTCTCTGTGGCGTGTGACCTGCTCACTCTTCTCACGCTACAACTCTGACGGTGTCCGTCCTGCCCCTGGGCTCTCTCTCCCCCATGGAAGAAATTCATGAGTCTCAGCAAGGAGACCTGGTGCTCCCTAGACCCTAGTCCCGAGCCTCTGCCCACCCACTCCGGCTCTCCCTCCCTGAGCTGACCCCCACCCAGCTCCTCCAGTGGAACGTGTTCCTCCACTCTGGGCCTTCCACGTGCTGAGCTATTCAGGAACGCCCATCCCTCTGCCCCTCCATAGTCTTCCAAGCGCCTCCAGCCTCAATGACAGGACCCTTCCCATGTCACAGCGCTACCCTGCTCTGCCCTATTTCCTGTCTAAGCCACCCATGGACCTTTGGAACCAGAGAAGCAGGAAAAATGGTTTTCTTGTCTCCCCAGTACCCTGTACAGGCCTGGCACACAATGGGTGGTCAATAAATATTGTTAATGAGTGAATAAATTATTATAAAATGGAATTTCCAAATGCTGTTTCAATTAAATAATTTAGCATCTATTATGTATATCTATAAAAGTCCATTGACTTTAAGTGTCACATCAAATAATTTCTGCATGAATACACAGTGTTGCATGATCCAAAAAAAACACAGCCATGATCCCTAGTATCTAAAGCCCACAGGAAAAGAATCTGATTTAAATATTAATGAATGTTGGTAAAGCACTCTCAATATGAAAAAGAATATGATTGGTAAGTATGAATCACATTCCAGACATACATAACTACAGAATATTTTTCTATAAATCTATAAGGTATTCTAAATTTAACATAGCTACTGTGATTTCTGTAAACAACGAGAACTACAGGATGAGAACAAAGAACCCTAGGATTTAAACCTCTACCTATTACTGATGTGTTTTGCAATTATCCTACGCAACAGATCTGTATGGGAATGCTTAAAGATATAGTTCCAAAGTACGTTAAGGAAAATGCAATTTCCTTAGAGAACCAGGGTATTCAGTGGTAAATCACCAAAAGCTACTTTAAATGTAATGAAAGACAAAAAGTACTATCAGAGGCCATGATCTCTTACACGGAATTTAACAAACCAGCTGCCACACCAGGAGACGCATACAAATCTAGCTCAGTTTTAATGCCAAGGCCACTGTCCTACGAATGCAAGGGAAGCTGGTCCACTGAGATCTTCACACCAACAGTGAATACATAAGCTAAGTCTGAAAGACACATTAACTCAGACCACGATACTGAGTTACTGTAAACTCGAAACTAAGAGGTTAGCTGGTGTGAAGTGTAAAGTAACAACATTTTAGTCTAGAGAGACAACGACAATGATGTAACTACATCTTTTCTATATCAGAAGCAGGAATGAGTAACAATTATTATAAACTCCCAGCATAACCAATAAGTAACACAGAAATTATTGAAAATACAGTCTACAACACTTGCTTTTTGATCTCCTACTTCTCCCTAGGACAAGAGCTTTTCAAAGGGGCTCAGGCAGAATTAATAGACAGCAAATAAAACTGCCATGCATTCCTGAAGAATCTCACCAACTTGTTCATAGATCTGCCTGGCCTGGCTTCCCGCCCCTGTCAAACATTCCTACCCAAAAGCCAGGTCTTTGGTGGGTTTAACGGGTCACCTGTGCAAGCAGGAACACTTAGGACTCGCTCCAGTTGTAACATCAACTTGTAATTCTCAATTACGGCATGACCTTGCTGTTACTACATCCCACAAACACATGACGGTGACTGTTTGTGGCAAGAGGGTTTTATTTCTGTTAAAAAGGACAACGCTTCCTAACTGCAGTGGAGGTCATGCATTTGGAAATCTTTTCATTCCGTTTTCAGAAAGATGTTTTATTTATTTCATAAGTTGTCATAGTAGTGGGTAACTGTGGGTTTGATTAAGAAAGGCAGAAGCTAATTATTTAAAACCTGTAATAAATGGCAAGGCTTTTTGTCAACAATACGTGAAGCAAAGGCCTTTAACAACACATAGAAATTCTACCAAGGCAATAAAAAAAAGGAAACGAAATCCCTAATCAGGTAATGTCAATTCGACATCTAGCCCAGCTCAATCACTCATTAGCAGCAGGCCCTTGGTGAAGCCATTTCATGCCTCTCACACCTTTTTCCTCCAGAAATAAACTAGAATGATTCTCGAGTTTTCTTTGAGATCTCGCTAGATCATACTGAGTCTTGAGATCCCTCGGAGGCTCCAGAACTAAACTAGAATGATTCTCGAGTTTCCTTTGAGATCTCACTAGATCATACTGAGTCTTGAGATCCCTCGGAGGTCTTAATCGTCCTCATCCTCACCAGCAACCAGGAATCCCACAGACAATTAGATTTGTCAGGGCAGGGGACACAAACTGAATTCGACCACCCAGACAAGGCTTGACTGTCATGGCAAAGAAATTCTTTCCTCAATGACAAAGGGGAGCGTTTGTCTTTGGAGAAAGCCAGAATGTTATTTAGAGAATGCTTGTGCCACACGGGTGTGACGTCCTCCGAGGGCAAAATGGGAGAGCAATGAAGATACACACTCACACCCTGAAAGAACGCAAGAGACCCGCTGTGGGCTGTGGGCGCCGCACTACTTTACAGCAGGACTCAGAACCGCGTGCTGATGCAAGGGTCCTGCACACTCCGTGTATACTGAGTGGTGTATGTACACAAGTCACACCTGGATGGAATGGTGCATCACGGGCACAGGCACACAGCCACTTTCAGGCACTCCGGCCATGCCAGTTGTGTTTGTAATGCAGAGAAACAAAGCATAAAGCCGCAAGACACCACGCTGGACGTGAAACTTTTCTTACAGAATAACACAAAAATAATGTTCCTCAAGGAGGTTAACCATCATTTGTTCTCAAGCAAACTCATATCCAAAACCATCTTGGAAAAAAAAGGGAGTTTCTAGTGTTTGCAGTCACCGCCAGTCTGTCCTGACTTCCTCCTCCCCAACATAACCAACAACCAGCGGTGCGCACCTAGACCCTGCACCACCCGGCTGGGAGGGCTTCTGTGCGGGGACTGCCCACAGACGGCCCCGAAGGGTCACGTTCCAGGAAAGTGTATAGGATTATTTACACATCTTGTGAAAAAAAACAAAAAGGAGGTCATGCTTCAGCGATGAGCATCATGGTGCACCTTTCCCAGCTACTGCATCAAAACCCAGACATCCAATTCATCATGAGACCTACTTGTTTGGGGGCGTCTGCGGAGGTGGTGTGAACTTCAGAACCCCGGGGTCCATCGGACTCAAACACCACTGTGGGAACAAGGGGTTTGTTAACAGATGAGCGTGTGAGCTTCAGGACGTGCACATTAAATGAGTCCATTACAGATTAAGTACTTTCACAAAAAAAGACACCAGCGCCTAGCCTGTGGCTGGAAAATACCAATTTACCGTAACACTTACAGTAAGAGACTGTGATAATGGCTGCCTGGGGCCACTGCCCTTTTTAATTCAGACCTCGCTGCTGAAAAAAGCAATCACTGACAACATTAATTATCGGTGTGTGTGCAAGGGACCCTCTTCTTGCATTACTTACCATTTGGCCTGTGTCATCTTGCATCAGACCAGCTTCTGTGTGCATCCTTCAGAGCGCTGATAGAGAACCCCGTCTCCCCATCTCTCTAATGCCCCTGCACTGTCCCGACAGTTTCCAGCCTGATCGGGCGCAAGCTCTCTACATAAAGGCTGAGGGATTTTGCAGTACATCCTGCCAGGTAAAAAGGGGCCCAGGCGTATCCCACAGAGTCCAGTCAGTGCCAGCGAGGACACAAAACCATGCCTACACGGTGCTAAAAGGGTACTTTGATTAAATGTGTGCTGCTGGCAATGCCATTCATTAGCATATTCATTTCTGAGGAGTCAGTTACTCTCTAATTAAAATGGAACATTTGCAAACAGGTTTATCTCAAATTAAACCACATGGCACATGGATACCAAAAAAATCCATTTCAGGTGTGGAGTGGGGGCGGCCGGTATACGATCCCGGAGGCAGATGGCAGGGCCCCCCCACCTGGTAGGGGCTGAAATCTCAGTATCTCCCTGGCTGCGGATGGTCAAGCCACTGACAGAAGAGACCCCTCTTCCTCTGCTTCCCTCGGGGACAGCTGGGTGGGAGGGCGATACCTGAGTGTGCCCGCATGTGGGCCCTGAGGTGGCCGGGCTGGTGGAAGCTCTTCCCGCACTCGATGCAGACGAACTCTCCTGGCCGGGCCTGCGTCCGGAGCGTCCCTGCGGTGGCGAGGTGATGGTAGTGGCAGTGGCGGTGGCAGGGCCGTGGCGGGGTTGGTGTGGAGGTGAGGAGGCAGGAGAGCGAGAGAGAAGCGAGAGGAAAACATCATTAGTCTGTCTAATGTGTCATCATGTGAGGCTCCCTTCAGGCCCTGGTGACAACTGTCAGCCTTCATCTCGGCTCTGCTGACAGGCCAGGCACTCTCAGGACTGCAAGGATGCATAAATTACAGCGAATTAAAAACCGCTCCCCGGGACGGGAGGCGCCCGCCAGGCTGCACGTCCGGCTGTGCGGCTCCGAGCATCTGCAGGCTGGGCCCAGCCATCACCTAGCTCTGTCAAGCGGCTCATCCGGCAAATCAGAGTGACACCAGCGTGACAGAGACGCAGACAGCGTGCTCATGGAAAATAGGAAGTGAGCGGGACCAGAGCCCGCCGTGACCCGGCCGCGATCCTGGGAGACCCACACAGAGTGAGTGCAGCCACGGGGCAGCCCCACCTCTGGCCCTCTCTCCTGCCTGCCTGGGTGGCTCTGAGGCCGCGGCCCCCAGCAGAAGGGAGGAGACACCTGCAAGCACCAGGCAGCAGCCCCCAAGGTGCGTGCACTTGCTGGCCATCGGCAAGGTCGGAAGTCCCCAAGTTCCACCTTCTCCCCAAAGATCTTGCCACATCCCTGTACTCAAAGGCCGGGCTTTGTGTTTCCTTCCGATCCAAAAAGCCACACGGCTTTTATTAGAAAGGGATGCAGAGTGTGTGTCTGCACACCTTTTCTCTCTGAAGAAAAGGCTTGTTTTCCACATGCTGGTAGCTCCAAAGACATTTCTCTGGCTGGGAGAGTCACTGTCACGTGCAATAGTAACTCAACTCAGTAGGAAAAAAAAACAAATAATAACTAGAAAAAGTCACACCTGTTGCAAAAATTTTTTAAAAAGCTGCTTTACGCAGCTGAGTTTTTATGTATCTAAAGGCTGGCACCTGAGTGTGAACAGCAAGTGAAGAGAATGACAAAAGGCGGCCGGGTGCAGTGGCTCAAGCCTGTAATCCCAGCACTTTGGTCCGAGACGGGCGGATCACGAGGTCAGGAGATCGAGACCATCCTGGCTAACACGGTGAAACCCCGTCTCTACTAAAAAAAAAAAAAATACA